ATATAAAAGAAAAACTTTTTGATTAAGAAGAATATTTTATAGATTGTGTTTGTATGAATGTGGGCTTGTATAAATTATTTAATAAATATCTACCGGAAATGAAAACTAAGAGTTTTTCTAATTATTATTGTTGTTTTCATTGTAGAATTTTCTCTGTAATTTTCTATAGAAAAAATCTAAAACTTTTCTAAATTATTAAGAACAATTTTTTTTTTTTGTTTTTTCTTTATTTTCTTGGCTCCTCTTGGAGTACATATACAAGAAACCATAAAGAAGATTGGAATTGTGAAAACCAATTAAAAGTTTTTCTTATTTTTTCTTTCATTATTATTAAATATACTTAGAGTCCTTTAAATGTGGTATTGAGTGTTTTTTATCCTATCTGACTGTTGTTTGATTTTCTTATGCTTTCCCATAGTTTTTTTTGTTGGTTTTTGGCAGAGAAATGAATAAAATTAATTTTAAAGGAAAAAAAAGAAAAGACCTTCCTTTATTTTGTTAAAGGAAATGGAAGGCATTCTTTCTTTTTTTTTCTTTTTTTTGCAGTAATTGCTAAAACAAAAGTTGAAGGATTTATACAATATTTTTTCTGCTTTTGTTGTACTTACAGGTATTTAAAAGGGTTTTTCTCTTATTTTTCTAAATTAAGGACAATCATTAATTATTTTTTATGTTTTTTTTTATAAATTTCAATTTGGGAAACCAATCAAATTATTTATTTTAGCTTGACCCTAAACTTGAAATTCTAATATAATAAAAAAGAAAGAGTAATTTTGATTTAAAATCAGATTTTGTGTGAAAAATCAAAATTCAAGGAAAATTGACCTAGTACGTATTGTGTTTCCTTAAAATGTGTTTGTTTGATTGCTGTCGCACATACAAAATATTCAAGTGCTGGTTAAATGTGGAGAAAATGCTATTAATTGGAGGGAAAGATCCAAAGTGAAGCAAATATCCCGACATTTCTTAAATTTTCATATTAGTCCTGAGTCGCTGTATAGAATTTATAACTTTCTCAATTTAATATTACGAAATAGTTTCGGTATGTCAAAATTTTTTTGCTGCACTTTGCAAATCTCTTAAATTTTTATTAAATTTTAAATTGTTTTGTTAACATTATTAAATTATTACTTATTTTTAGACAGGATTCACAAATATCCTAGTTATTAACACAGAAGTGGCCATAAATTTACTTAAGAATTGATTGTGATATTCGATCAACAGTAAAGCGACAACACCAGATCATTGTGTTCGCGAAGAATATGTTTGGTAATCTCATTCTCCTCGCAGCAAAATCTACACAAACGGTCTGTTACTAATTCTAGTTTTATAGATACAACAAATCAGTCAATTGTGGAAAACTACATTTTTTATCAGCCGGAGCAATATTTTGGAATATAGAAACTTTTCAAAGAATCCTATTTGCGCCGAAAATTTGATTTTGTTTGCATTTATTCATAAGGCCTATCGCATTTACAAAAACTTGTTAAAAATGGATGATTTTACAGAAGAAAACGAAAGCAGTAGGAAAAAAACAGATGAAAATCTTAAAATACAAAAACAACAGCTGACAAAATTGCTAAATTTGCATATATGACTGTCATTTGCAAATAAAATTGATTGATGTGATTGACATGATCTTCAGATGTATTAGAAAAGCACTTTAATATTCAAAATTTGTTATTATATCCTATATTTATTAACAGTGAATTTCGATATTATGTGTGTTTTTCGGGTTATTTAATACTTATTTAATTGGAGGCAGAATTAAGGAGTCATGCGCTATCATCTCAATTTTATTTACAATTTACAAATCTATTACTAGTTTTTTAAATTTTCAAACTGCTATTTAAAACAGGAATTTACATAAAAAAATTTAAATTTATAAAGTTAGTTTCTAATTTAATAATATAAAGGAAATAACAATAAAATCCCTTTATAATATTTTAAAAACAAAAATCCTAAAATTAAAGAGGAAAATACACACAGACAAAATTTTCAAAATGAAGTTTGAACAATCGAAATGTGAATAGAAGAATTTACGACCGTCGTCACGATTTCTTTTAATAATGCATTATATAAGTAAAAAACAAAAATAGAAAAACTTTTATTTTCCATTTTTAAAAAAAAAGAAATGAAAAAATTTTCATAAACTTGGAAAATTTATACGGAAATTGGTAGAGAAAAGAATAAAATCCTAGCTATAAGATGGCTATAAAAATAATGTGATTTTAGAAGAAATCTCTTGACCTATAAAATAAAATATTAAATCTATATATACTTACATACATATAATAAATACAATAGGAGGACATAAGAAAATATAAAAGACAATCAAAAATTGTATAAAAGGATCTATAATGGTTTCATTTCGTATTGATCCTTATAATAAATTCATATAATCAAAAGGTGATAGTAAAACTTTTTGTAATATTATGAAGAAGTGTGTATGTTTGTCTTCTTATTTCTGCCTTATTTGTGTCGTTCTATATATGTATATTTTAAAACGTGCTTCATTTTCAATACTGAGTATTTGAGTTCTTTATTGTTCTACAGAATTTAATACACATATCACAATATTATGTATAGACGCATAACATATCTGTGACTATCCAACACATTTAGTTAAAATTTTCATGAACGTGACTAATGCGAAATGAAATTTCTTAGCAAAAAAACAAAAGATATTCTTTTTTTTTATTAAAAAGAAGAATTTATTTTTCGATTATTGCATTATTAATATGTGAGATAAAAATGAATTTGAAAATTTTATTAAAATAAAAAATTTGAATTATTTGTATTTATACTTTAAAGTTATCAATAGCGAAGTGTTTGACACAAGTATGTGGGTGTGGATTTGGAATATAAATTCAAAATAAAAATAATTTATTCTTATAATTGTAAAGATTACAACCTCTCCATGAATGTAACGCATTAAAAACGCAAAATTATTTGATAAAATTCGAATTGATCTATAAATTGTATCCTGTATCCGAGCTCATCAAGTTGTTATCATACCAATGTACTCATCAATACTAAAATAGTAAAAATTTATTTAAAAATTACACGTTACTTGCAAAGAATTGAACTGTGAAAATAGTCTGCAATAAATTCATTTCAGAGACAAAATCTGCAAAGAGATAATATGGATAATGAGAATAAGAGAGATAATCAGGTAAATATATAAATATACAATTCTGCAATTAAATCAGCTGTTTTTATATGCAGATTCAAAATTTCTGTAGACGCACAGTTTTCAATATATGAATGAATGTTTATTATTTATTGTTATGCATGTGTTTTTAATTTTATAAGATTTACAATACAAAATGTTATACACATCCGAAATAATTTATTTGAATGTATTTAAATACTATAATATGTTTTATTTGCAGATTTTAATTCCGAAAATTTTACTCCGAATTTAAAAGAATTAGGTGAAAAAAGGGGAATATCTGTTTTTTTATTTGAATATTAATAATTATTATTTAAAATATATCATAATTTTAGGAATAATAAAATAAAAATTATGAATAAATATTTACAAGTATATAAAAAGGATATTGAAAATAAATAATTATAGAGGGCATTCTTAAGAAAAATAATTTTTAAAAATATGCATAGTTTTTATACAGTTATATAAGTTTCAGTAAAATTTATTTATTATGAAGTTTATGAATGTTGTATTAGCTTTTTTGTGTATGATAATTTTATTAATATTCTTCAACAGAACCCAATGATTTTTATTTTTTAATTTGTATATTTAAAAAATGTACATTGTTTCTTTTAATTTCGTATTTTAATTTAGCACTTTTTATTAACAATTTTGAAAATTTCTGTTTCATTAAAATTATATAAGCTATAGTCAAGGTATAGTTCACAAAAGATGAATCACCGTGGTCTCCTCCTCATCACAGAAGCTCCTACAGAGGTAGCTCGCAGGGTCTCCCATTCTCCTGGCATGTTCGGATTCATAGCTCCAATGAGACATCAGATCAGTGTCTGATCGCAACAAATTACTTGTAAAATTTTGAACTGAAACCAACCATAACATTCAAGCATCATAATTAATTTCTACATTAATTTGAATATTGAAAAACCACATACGCCTGAAATTACGGACATTTAGTCCGTATATGATTGCGTCTTTTATAAATAATATTACATAGTCGAATCAATATTTTAACTTGATGTATGTATAACAGTTTTACAAAACTGCAAGCGAAATAAATTTATACATTGTGTTTCGGTATTTTCATCTTAAATAATAATATAACAGTTTAAGTAATGGAATTATCAAAGATATTATTCTAAATATATTCGTAATTGACATGGTTATTAATATTAAAACTTTAATATAATAAAACTGTGTTCTCTTTCATACACAGAAAATGTTATATAACATTATATACGTTCTACTAAACTTACTTATAAACATAAATATACGTGCATTTAGCCCGAATCTATCTATTAAAACGTATACATACAAAACATGTTATACAAGTATTGAAAAAAAAAAATAATAAGACACATGGTCTGTCGGTTTACTTAATTGTTTATTATATCTTTACAGAAAAGAGATGATATCACAAAAGAGGAAAGAAAAGGAACTACTCTTTACGGATTATGCCCGGTCTTTTTTAATCATTATCATTTTCATCATTACCACCGTCATCATTCATATTAAAGAAGATATACGACAAATTGTATTCTTCTTTCTCATATTCTCTCATAAAGCAAACAGAATTTTTATAACAGAATAGAATGAACAGAAGAAAAACTACGGTCTGTATTCTGTCTGTAGATTATAGTATAACGGTGAACAATTAAAACAGAATATAGAAAGGAAAAGGAAAGGAACTAAAAAAGAATAACAAAAGAAAAAAATAATAAAAAAATAACACGCATTTACTGCGATTCGAATGTATACTTTGAAAAATCTCTCGAGAGAACAAACATTATTTCGTAAAATTCAGTTAGTATCGGAAGGTCGTCGCGTGCAGATGTGCTCTTAAAGAAAAAATATTGAAAAATATTTCAGAATATTTTTTCAATTGAATTTTTATAATTTATTAAAAGTGAAAAACTTTAAATAATATTCATTATTAATGAACGGTAAACTGTGGAATATATTTCGAATGAAAAATAAAATTAAAATGAAATTCAATTTAATGTTATAAAAATAAATCATTTTATTCAAATATTTATTTATTTTTTTGGAGAAATGCAATTAAACTCTATAAAAAATTTATAGAAATACCAAAGAAAATATTGATTATAACTACATACATACCGTATATACATTAAAAAAAAAGGACTTGCACTAAAAATATTTAAACGAGGATATCAAAAGTGAAATATACTAAATGTAAAATAAAAAAATTATTTTTTCATAAAAAATTTAATTTAAAATTTTTTAAAGTTTTCATTTTTAATTAAAAGCCGGGAAAATATAGTTGACACACAGAAAAAAAAAAATATTACAAAATTAATAAAATGGAAAATTCAACAATATTTTCATTAATATTCGGTTCATCAACAACTTCTTCACCAATAAAAACAAGAACTGAAGATATTTTAATTAATAATAATAATGATAATGATAATACCGTTACATCACAATTAATTATATCACCATCATCATCGTCACTATTAAATATTATTAATAATTATGATAATAATAATATTATAACAACAACATTGAAAACAACAAATGAATATACAACATCTAATTTTAATAATATTGCTGCTGAATTATCAAATACTAATAATAATATTAATGATAATATAAGTGGTGATGGAACAATTGAATCAGTTATTAATTCATCTGGATCGGCATCAGCATCGGCAGCATCAGCTATACAAGATTTATGGAGTGATCAACAAATAACATTTGAAATACCATCATCAAATGATTTAGAAAAAATTAATAATTTAGATAATTTTACAAATTTATTTCATCGTATTATTAATAATGCACAACAGCAACAACAACAATTACAACAACAGCAACAACATCAAAATCATGAATATAATAATATAATTGATAATCATAATAATATTAATTATCATAATTATGATAATAATAATAATCGATTATTATTTAATACACATTTTGATACAAATGGTAGTCCTGTTATTAATTTAGCTGATTTAAAAACAAATTATGATAATGATGGCGGTAGTGTTTCATTAACTGATGATTTATTTAATTTAAATAATTTTAATAATGTACATAATGATCATAATAATATTAATTTATTAAATGATAATAATATAAATAGTTTAGAAAATTTATTATTTGGTAATATAAATATGCAAAATTTAATTAATTATTTATGGATTGGTGTTGTTACATCATTAATAATATTATCAGTGATATTTATAATATTCTCATGTTATTTTTATCGTAAATTTAAAGAATGGAAAAAATGCAGTAAGTTTTAATTTATTTCTTAATAAATATTGTATAATTTTTAATTTTAAAATATTATTTTTAAATTAATAAGCATAAGTAATTATTAAATTATCTTCTCTTTGTGTCTGTGAACTTATTGCAATTATAATCACTGGTTTGTACTTTAAATCATAGGGTAATATATGCAAGCCCTTTAAATTTTTGTATAATGTGAGTTTAACAAAGCATTAGAGAAAAAATTAGACAAAGCATTAGACTAGGAAGAAGTGGTATTTAGCTGATATTAGACAAAATTTTGTATCTCAATTTTATAAGACTGCCTTTATTTCTTTTTGCACTAAATTATAATAGTCTGCCTATGGTTTGTCAAAGATCTCTTATAAATATACCATTATTTAACGCTATGACAGGCTGCAGTCAGCGCCTAACGTACTCCCAATAACTTGTAGAACTGAAGCTAAACTCTTGAAAGGAAAAAGTGAAGTGTATGGCCGTAATACTCCCAAGTTGAGTATGGGGAAAAAAAAGTTATTTAATAAACACCAGTTGCATGTCTCTTTTAGCTTCCCTAAGCAGAAAAGATAAAATTCCTAAAAAAAACATACAATTATTAAATTTATTTTAAATAAAAAAATTTAATAAAAAACCCAAAAATTTAATTTTAAAAATTTGAATTTTTTAAATTTTATGCAAAAAAAAAATTTTTTTTTTTCAAATTTATATTAAATAACCATACCTAAGGGTCTCAATATTAAAATATTTATGTATTATACAAAGTATAACAAAAATTTAATAAAAGAAACAAAAGATGATTTTTTTTTTATAAAATTTAATTTTTTCTTTTTTTCTTGTGTTCATTTGCATTACACTAAGTAAAAGTATGTAAATTACATTTCTACTTACATTAAACTCCCTACTACTACTACTACTATTACTCTACCTACATATACATAATGTTATTTAAATATTATTATATTATAATTCTATGTATAACAATATCTTAGATTTTGATTTTTAAAATTTCTTTTTTTGATATTTTATATAAGTAAGTACAAAAAAAAAGGAGCACAAAAATTTTTTATTTTATCATAAAATTCCGGAGGCATTAAAATTGTAATATATATGATAATTGAGTTCTTGAAATCAAAAAGTTGGAATATTACATAAGTATAAGTATATGACTAAGTGAATGTACAAAGTATAATAATTTCATAGAAAATTTCAATTTGTTTCGTGTAAAATATTCTTACCGCCACAATTGTTATACAAGTACTTATAGAAGCAATATTTATAAAAATCTTATTATTTGTTAAGCAATGTATAAATGTGCTTTTGTTAAACAAAAATAAAGAGGTTTTTAAAATAAGGTCTAAAAAAATTTTTAAATTCTTTAAAGATATTTAACTTTAATTTAATGATTATTATCTCGCTCTCTTTTTAAAATATAAAAATTCAATTTCCTGGCAAAAATTATTGTGTTATACACTTACTTTTATTGAAAATATTAAATGTGTAGGTGTATGTAACAAAGAATTTAAAATAATTTTATATAAGAGAAAAAAAAAACAAAACCTTAAAAGTTTAATCTTAAAATGTAATAAAAAATAAATTTATTCGCTTACTTATACTTTGTACTTAAATTTTTTTATAATATTAAAAAAAACTAAGTAATATATAAGATAATAAAAGCAGGGCGAGATGCAAATAAGTAACCGTAGTTATACACAATAGTAATTATCTTAAAAAGTGTTTAAATTGCAAAATTTCATTCATAAATAAAACGAAGTAAACCGTATATAGCTATAACATTGCTTCGGGGTGAAGAAGACGGGAACTTTTCTTATACATTTTTGGAATATTGTTCAGACTATACACACCTTCTTTATTTTCCTGTAAAAGCGTATCTCTCATAACAATATTATTATAACTACATATTTGCCCCCAAGTAAATGAATACACGGTCTATATTTGAGAATTTCAAGAACAAAAAATAAAAGTGAAGGAGGACTTTTTTTTTTAATTTTTAATTCATTTCTTTTTTCTTTAATTTTTAAGTAATAATAACTTTGTTGCGTGGCCCCCCCCCCAAAAAAAAATGATATCTCATATACTCGTATTATTTGGAGAACACAAATTACATGCATGCGTACAGAAAAATATTTGTATATATATACTTTTATATATTTGTACAAACATTCGAAATATCATAAATTTGAGGATTCATAAAAATTATTTCAGAGTCCCCACATGTTTTTTAATATGCTTTAACATTTTAAAATTAAAATGGTAAGGTATAATACAATGTAAACGTAAATATGTAGGTAGCTTCTCCATCAAGTTATCCTTAACAGAAATGAAACAATCTATTGGTACTTACATACATACAAACACACAATAATTATGAACACAATAAAAATAGAAAGAATTAAAATAAAAAGGGGGGGGGGGGGATAAAAAAAATTTTTTTCTTTAATATTTTAATTTTTTTTTATATTTTTTGGTTAAAGTGGTTTTGGAAGATTTAAGAAATGAAATAAAATATAAGAATAACTAAAAAAATAAAAAAAAAAATTTTATGGGATGGTCAAATTTTTCCCGTAATTCTCGTACATTTCAGTTTTTTTATTTTTTTTCTGTACTTTGAGGTAGGTTTTAATTTCTTTTCTCATTTTATAGTATGAATTCACATTGAAAACCTTTTATGGTTAGCAGTAACAGTACCATAAACAACTATATACTTTTAATGTTCAAGGATATCGAAAATTTATTACAACTTATTAATTTTATATTTGAGTAAGAATATCGGTGGGGGGGGGGGGGGGGCAGCTGGCTCGGGGTTGGTTATTAATTTCATTAATATTGATTAGTATTTTATTAAAATTTCTTTGAATAATTTTCTCATTTATATTTTTTTTTATTAATTTATAGTAATTAATATTATTATTATAATTATTATTTGGATATCACCTTGAAAATTTTTTAATTAAATATGATATTATTAAATAAAATGTAATGACTCTAATAAAGTTGTGGAAATTTTATTTCTTGGAATAGATTATTAGAATTAAAAATTTATTAGAATTTAATTAATTAAAAGTTTTCAAAAAATATATATATATATTTAGCTTGTAACTCTCCTACTTATGTAATCAGTATAATAATTAATCAATTGATTACTTTTGTTTAAAATAATTAATTTTATCCAAAGTACATACATAACAGTTCACAAAAAAGTTTCATAAAATATTTAAAAAATATTTGGCTTATAATTATAATAGTGTTTTATGGGAGAGTTTCAGCAGAACGGACCTGGAAAGGCATTAGTAAATTCTCTGGAGACCTGAAGAAAGTCTGATAGTACACCTTCTGGAAGAGTGTGCATCTCTCGATTGTAGAAGAAGTAAAATACTGGGCGACTTTGTTCTCAAGGCGGCCCGAGCCATTCGATTTCGGGCTTCCACAGTCAGTGGACACAATGAATTTTAGGTCTGAATTTTGTGTTAAATTATTAAAAAGTTTCGCATTATTTCCAAAGAATGATTTGCTAAAAATCATAAAAAACGAAATTTTTTCAATTTATTAAACGCCCACAATTAAAAGTTGCCCACGTTAATAAAGAAATAACGAAAACAAACCATCAAAGTACGACCACTCATTCATACAAACAGTCAAAATATTTTATAAATTTTCTTATATTTTTTTTTGGTTTTTTTTTTTTCATTTTATTTCTACCTTAAACCTTCAAAATGTCATTCCAATTAATTCAATATAATAAAACATAAAAAAAACACAAAAATCTATGCGAAACAATGCAATCTCCTTTAGGACATTTTCAAAAAAATTTTACTCTGTAGATTGGGCGTTTTTCGAATATTTCTCTTTTTTCTCTTTTATTTTTTTGGAATTTTATTTGAAATTTTTAACTTAGTATTTATTTTTCCGTTTTATAATTAAAGTTTTTCGGGGCTATTCTTCTGTTGAATTTTATAATTTAAATTGAATTTGGGATTTAGTTTTTTTTTTAAATATCATTTTGGTTTTCTTTTCAGAGTTAATCATAAGATTTATAAATTTAAAATTGTTATGTATGTACACAAGTATATTAATGTACATATGTATGTACTCAAAATGATATAAAATAAAAATCTGATATTTTGCGGTTGCTCTTAATTCTTTATTGGAATTTGTTAGCTTGAATTTTTTATAAAATAATTTTATAGTTAATTGGCATAAATCCTTTTTCTCCAATTATTTTATTATAAATCTTGAATTTTCATTGGAAATCAATTATTAACTGTATTAGTCATGCACATAATCTTAAATATAATGTCATAGTTCGCAAATAATACGAGTTCAATGTCATTAAAATATGATTCACAAAATTTTCGTTCACAATATTTTGAGAACAAAAATGAAATTTTATAAAAAGTAAATTCTTGAGAAAAAAAATTATTTTATCGAAATTCAGAATAACTAAAAGGTATAGATTTATTTCTCTATTGCATGTTTATTGTATTGAATTTGCTCTTTGGTTTTGGTTTATTTTTTAGTTTTGCTCTATTCTGCGTGCTTGTTTTAAGCATTTCCTAGGATTCTCCACATACTAATTTTATTTTGAGTTATGGTGGAGCTTGAAGTTCTTTTCTAATACTTACTTTCTTAAATATTCCAATCATTGGCATGCGTTCCAATGACGGTCTTGCAAAATTTGCGTTATTTGCTAAGCAATAATAAAAATATTTATTTAATTGATTGTTTTGCAAATTCTTGTGTATTTTACTCTACCAAGATGTTATCCTAAAATCTGATTGATGATATGCCGCGTACGGACTGGAAGTAGTTCGTTGTGGGGTGGGGATGTTATTAGTAATATAAATTTAATATAATGAAAATTAATGAAAATTATTGGTCTTTCTTTCTATATTTAACAAATAATATAAATAATTTAAGATTATTAATAATTTTTTAATATTTTACCGTACTCACCTAACCTAACTTACGTAGTATGTACACAACTA